CGAATACATCTTCTTTCCATCCTGATCCGTATCTGACTCATTTCAAATGAGGTTTATAACTTGTTTAACAAGAAAAGTCAGCCAATTTGCTTACACATTGTAAATAAAAATAAATTGCACGGCAAAATATACAGGAGCGAGAATATTTCATCAAATGCAAGCTAGTAAATCAAAACGAAATAACAAGCGAGTGTTGATTGTGTGTATGCACGACTCCAAATTTTGTTCGAGGGTAATTGAATTAACAAAATTGATATAATAACCGTTAAATTTTAGCTATCCATATTTCGTTATGTGCAGCACGCGAAGCTCTATGGAAATATTTTTCATATACGTCAACTAACGTGATTCTATAATAACCAATGAAATGATTGAATTTCGTATAAAATTGTAAATTATTCAGTTTCTGGATAAATAGAATGTATAAAAGCGGTGACAATTTTGTTTCTCTCAACGTACGTATCAAAATGAAAAAGTCGACTCATAAACGTAGAACATTTTCATCAAAACTTAACGAAAGTATAATTTGATTTTGGTCGATTGATTGCTATCTATGATAAAACACCACATTTACTATTAGATTGTTTTATTCGCAACATTTTATAGAAAACCTTCGACTTCTATCAAGGAAATACTGATAATCACGTACAAATAATTTCCTATAAAACTAGAATACTTTTTTGGCATTTTAAGTTCATAAAACTTACCTTTTCCCTAACAGCAGAGAAGCATAATTACTGAATATGAAATCATCCGGAGAATTAGTCGGCTTCATTTCAGTTTTGTGGACACTGTATGTCCTTAATCGAGGTACAATTCCATATAGTTTCGTGTAAACACAGAGCCCGTGCTTCGGCGTTTACCTATGACATTATCATGTCCTGCCTATCGATCCGGCTGCAAGTTTGATGCACAAATATTCGTTGCATTTGTAAAATGAATATAATCGAGAATAAATGCCGAGGGCCCCCTATTTAAATTAATGGATTTTAATTCAGCGGACACTTATTGGCTTTATGAAAGTAATGGATTTTCGTTGTATTGCTATTGGATTCGCGACAAAGGCGAGTGTTGATATATAACACACGGATAATTAGGAAACGTGCTTTGAATGGATTTTTCGCACCTCAAAAAAAATCTTATTCCCACCGCACCATACGAAACAACATTCAACATACTATCTACAAAAACTTCTGAATTCTTCCTGCGTCGGTTGCTGTTGAGTCGAACTAGCTAACGTTTCGCCAATCATCCTGTTGGCTTCTTCAGAGCTTAATTGAAACTGAATAAGCTAACAGGATGATTGGCGAAACGTTAGCAAGTTCGACTCGACAACCTTCCGTGGCAGGAAGAATTCAGATGTTTTGTAAATAGTATTGTGGAAGAAATAAAAGAAATCGCTTACCCTCAAGGAGACCTGGTTACACAAAACTTCAAGGTATACGAGTCGCGAAATTATTTGGCACGAGCGGTGCGAGTGCTTAATAAATTAGTGACTTAAAAAGTTTTCCAAATGTTTTGCTTAATAAACTTCTTCTACGACTTCTACTACATTAGAATTGACACAGGTCAAAATTCAGACTGTGCGGTATAATCTCCGAAAACATCCGATTGCTCCCAAAACCGTGCGTTAATATCCAGAAATATAGTGCTTTTACAACTAACCCCTGATTAACTTTGCCTGGTGTTTATTACCCAAAAACCGCAGCATCTTGTAGAACACACTGCCGAGCAGACTCTTACCCGTAACCATTCCAGGACCGTCCTAAGAATTTATCTACCTACACTAACAAGCGGGATATAAGTATGTCTTTAATCTTTTTCGCTGAGCAATTCTTCAAATGAGTACATAAAAAAATTAGTACCATGTAACAATTTATTACGTTTTATGTCCCCTTTTGAATTTCTTATAAAATTGTAAACATTGAAAACAATTTGCTAAGGTAGTTCGTTTTCTACATTGTTATTAGGTTCGACTACCATCTCCACTTCGTCTTCAATTTTGCGTTGTTTTCGATGTCTTCTTCTAACAGCCGAACATCTGCTTTATTCCACGGTCTCCGCATTTTAAAGCGGTAAAAAACAGGCACCTTGAAGAAATGTTTAATTGTAAGATTCTAATAAATATTTATCTGTATTCTTGTCACGTACTTTTATCTACCGCGAATATAATCTATAGTTTTAAAAAAGACTTTTGTTGTTTACAAATCGAAGAACTTGTAGAAGACGCAAAAATACCAGAAGAAGAATGTCGTTAATCGACAGGCACACAAGACAAAACTGGAGAGATCACCGTCAAATACATCCGTAATATATGCGAACATATTGAAATTTAGATTAAACTCTTAAGCACGATACATATCATCTGATCTTAAAATAAACGCTTCTACTTATTCGAAAATACCTCGCAGCATCAATGCTTAATCAAATTTAAAACGGTCAAATAAGAATTTCAAGTTTCTACAAATATTCGTTACGGTCCATCTCAGGGAAGACCTACTTAATGCAGATTAAATATCTTGGGGTATCAGTTTTACCACGGTTCTGAGAAGGTCTGCGGTTAAGGTACTGGAAAATACTTAAAACGTCAAAGCAATAAATGCACTATATTTTTGGTCGTTCCATATAACAAAGTAACGTTTCCCGCATGCTAGATCGGTGCATAATTAGATATTTTACAAAAGAGAGTAGAAAAACACATTTAAAACTCACAGGTGATTATAACATGCCAGAAATAATGCCGACACGATCGTTCCATTAATGGTTGTCCTCACACGTCGCAAGCAATTTAACGTTTACTCTAAAACGGGATACGACAATTAACATCGTAACGGCATTCTGCGGAAATTTTCATTATGAGGGAGAAACTTTATTACCCCCATTTAAAATAGCACAATATTCGGATCCCATATGTAAAACTCGGCGTCGAAAATTTTAACTCGGAACGACGGGGTTTTCATCTTGAAGCGCGGTTCTGGAAAATGCCCGTAATTTTGTTTTAAATAGAGACGCGGAAACGAAAAGTGGCCATTTTAATTTCCGTCGCTGTGAAATGCGAAATTGACTTTATCAGAACGTACTGAGTTATATCGCACGATAAATTGAAGTTTTCCGCTTGCTGTTGGTTACAGAATCGGCCAATATTAATGTTTATTTACTCATTTTCGTCGTTAATATCATCGAGGTAGTCGATACATGTTCCCAGTAAGGAAATGTGAAAATATAAATTAGGTAAAAAGACAAAATGCTGGAAATTATTTTTGAGCCTCTGAAAATAACGACTGGGCGCAATTGTTATCTTCAATTTTACAACTCGCTTTCTACAAAAATTTCGAATATTTACCATAGTTACGATGTAGTTTAAATTTTTGTTTAATGCTTCATTATCTCGTCACCAAGTGAAGTTTTCTGATATAATAGCGACAAAAATAATTTAGTGAAATATCTATCATCAGATAAATCAAAATAGATGAAATGAGAAACCAACAACCAAGCGAAAACCGCATCCCAATATCTTTATCCTAATCTAAATTGTGAATAAAAGAACTTAATGCTCAAAAAAAAAGTTGGACTTTTCAGTCTACTGGCTGTTATTGATGTTTAATTATGCCGAGTGTTCCAGCCAAAACGCTAGATTATTTGAGATGCCAAATGGTATTCAAAATCAAAATGAAGTGTCATTTATCTTTGTTACTTGTTTACAACACATTCGAAGGCCACCAAATTACCCTTAACTGATATTCCTATATTTTGACTTGTTTAGCAGTTTTTAGGTATTTAGTATTATTATTTATTCTTCCATTAACACCAAAACTAATGAATTATTGAAGGCGCAACAATTTTATTAATTATTGTGGGGGTAATATGCATATAATTAGTATTTTTCGTCTAGACACTGGATTACGATGACAAACATCAAATAACGACGCGAAAGATGTAAATAATGGGCAAGATGTTTTTATTATGTAATTTGATGCCCTTCGAAGGAATTGTCAAAAAAAGTAATAAACAACAATGAAATTTCCTTTTGATTTCAAATATCATTTTGAATCCAAAACAAATTAGAATTTTATTTGGTGAAATCGAGATTAATAAAAAACATTAATAACAAACCATAAAATGGATTTTTTCCCAATATTTAAGTTTTTTTGAGCCTTAAATTATTTTAGCCATATTTCAACGTATTATGTTGAACCCGATGAATAAATCCGTTTTAAACCTTTTAGCTGTTCCCAATGGAGGACGCTTCACGGTCTATTTCTGATAGTTTGAAAAAATCATATTTTTTGTCTAGGGCCATACCGCAAGACCTTTAAGGATGAGATTTGATAAACGAATGTTTTGAAGGAACTTGTTTGGAGTGTACAAAAAACCTTGTATTTATTTTTTGCTTAGTGTACAGCTTTAAATTTTAAGTAAAATATTCTTCCCTGAATTGGAAAGAAATCAATTATCAACTGTTTTCCAGAAGAGTTACTACAAGTCAAATATTTTTTTCAATTTTTGAGCAAATTATTTCCTTTAGAAAAATAATAACAAAATTACACCCAGAAAGAATTTAGGGTCATTTGATAGCGCAGGTTCCAAAATATACATCAAATTCGAAAGCTTCTCTATTTATAATAAACATTTGGACGCATTTTATCATAAACATTTTGACACCATCGCTCTGTTTAAATTAGTCTTAGAGCCTTCAGCGCAAAAAATGTTGCAAAATTTTCGGTCGATTTTATTATTTTTCTTTTCTTCTGTGCTCGTTTTCTTTCGTTTTAGATTACCGTGTATTATATTAATTAAGTGCATTGATAAGTCATAACCCGTTTTGCCTATAGAATTGTGTATTCTGTACAGAAAGTACATTTCTATTTTATATAAACAAAAATTCAGGGAGTGAGCCGAAAGTTTAACACATTGTAATTGTTAATATCCAACACGGCACAAACATGTAGCAAAAACATATAACGTAGCAAAATCCAAAACTTTCATTTATAATTTTGCAGTGTGACGGTCCCATTGTCCCTGGAACTGAAAGTATATGCCTCCCGCAATCTAGGGTGAGTTTAAACTAACAAAAACAACTGTCAGTAGTGTGCAGGCAGAATTTTATAAAATGCTTCTATAGTTTTCCTCTGTATTTCCCTTGATATTTAGATTTTATTACGAACATGCGGTACCAAACACCACAAGTCGAACAGCTATGGGATACAATTAAAGTGCATGTTAATTTTGCTATCATAAGAGGCTGGAAGCAATTTTTAAAAAACATTTCATTTAATACTTTTAATTTTTCCAATTTTATAAATTAAAAAATGAAAATCTAGCATTTTGCAATGTTCAAGAAACTATTCAACTATGTATGAAATATAAAGGAAAATATCGTAAGCCGCCAGAACTTCCTGTCCATTTTAACAAATGACAATTTTGAGAAAAAAGAATAACTAACTAAAACTATCCTGCATTTTTAACAAAGATTATGAAGTGATGATGATGATGATGATTTGTTTATATTCGATTCAGACGGGAGTAACTTCTTCCTCTATTTCTCAATATTATTTGTTAACGTTAACCAGCTTAGCTAATTCAAAGACCCATAAACTTGCGCAAAATGAAATACATAGTCATTTTCTTCCGCAAATGGCGAAGAAGAAGAAGGGGGACAAGAAGATATAACAAAGCACTCCCACCCACAAGGACAATTAAGTAGAGAGCTACAAGGGGGAATTCTGAATTAGGAACTCTTAATGAGATCTTAGATATCCACTCAGTAGCCAGAGAAATAGTCCTTGATGACCAACAACTTCATTTTAATGGCAGTCCTCCTTTCAAGACTTTAAATTTCGTATCAGCTTTTACTGGACCCATCTGAAAATATAAATAATCTGAATTGAAAAAACATCAATAAAAAAAATCAAAAATTCATTTATTCCACAGACTCCTGTAACATTATTTACAAATCTTCGGAATTTCTGCTGGGTCAGTCGCTAAAAACTGGTATTATACTCTACATTTTCTACGATTCTACATAATGGTGAAAGAGGTAAAAACAGGAAAAGCGCTTAAGATTGTTTGGTTGTTTAAAGATGACTAGGGATTCAGCCTGGATTAACAATTCCACCTATTGCTGGCACCATTCATTTTTTGGCACAATATCTAGCTTCTATATTAAAACCTTTTACGGGGAAAAGTCGCTATTCCTAAAACTACCAACAGTATTTCAGATCTATTTGAAATCCTAGAATCGAGAAACATGTTTTCTATCTTAATTGAAAAATGCTTGCCTGGAATATATTTTTCTTGTAACGCTCAAATTTATAAACAAATATTGGGAACGGCTATGGCTTCTCCATTATCACCAGCCATCGTAAATATAGACGCTTGTCAGAATAAAACCCTTGACAATGTTTAATAAAAACAAAATCTATGGAAGTGTTATATTGATGATACTTTTGTTATTTGGTCTCATGGTTAAGAATACCTCCAAGATTTTCTTAACCATTTAAACTCTACACTTTATGAATTAGATACTAGTAATGATTTCCTATTCTCAGCAACCCCACACCTGCCACGGTGGTCCTTTCTTACATTGAAAAGTTTAATTTCAAGTTCTTAAAAAGTATAATGCTAAAATCAGATTGTCCAAAAAATTTCGAAATGTCAAAGACAAAATTTCGTTTGAATCGCCAGAAGTGTACAGAATTTCGTGAGGAAAATATCAAATAGGTTAAAAGAATATGAAAGAACTTTAAGACTAAAATTTTTGCAAGCAAAAAATTGTTCTCGACAATCCATAAAAATCTCTAAATAACCCCTCTTGCAACTCAAGTGTTTACTTTTCATCAATATGCGAGTCATCTGAGACGATGTTTATGCCAGTTTCAGTTTAGCTCTGAAGAAGCTAACATGATTATTGGCAAATTGTCGGCGAGTTCTATCCATAATTAACAGTCGTAGGAGGAGTCCAGAAGTTTTTTTTAAATAGAATAAAGATTCATGCATTTAAGGGTAAATAGGACACAATCACAATCGCAATTTTTTTTATATAAATTACAATAACGCCTTTCGACCCATATTGACAGATGTCAATCGGCATATACTATATAATAAAATTTGCTTTTCCCCTCAAAATAATAGGTGTAACAAACATACAGAGAATACAAGCAACTTATGAAGTATTTTTGAGGATGACATTATCTCTCGAACCCGATGTATTTGACTTTCAGCTTGCTTTATTCAAATGACTAAGCTTAGATGTAATTAACTTGTGCATTTACATATGTCCCTTTGTAAGTAAAATTGTTGCAAATGATATTGCACACGCTTGCAGCAAAGCGTAGTCAAAAATACTTAAAGCGCTTACTTTTCCTCGCCGACCTATTCATTTTAGAGTCTCTAATTAACGTTATTAACTTTGCAAAAAAGACTGTGGCAAAAAAAAATCACGACCGGCGTCGCAGAGGAACTAATAAAACTTTTGCCGGTCGCATTTTCCACATTAATATTTCATCTGGTAACAGTGCGCTTTGGCGAAAGAGCAGGTGGACCGCCAGAGATTTGGAAAACGTTAAAATATTAAATTTACTGCCGTTCCGTTGCGTTAATAAAACTTTTGCCTTTAAATAGACAGTACTATGCAAACTAGCAAACCATAATAATCGAATGGCGTGCTAAAAAATGCTTTAAATCAAATATAATTCGCCCGTAATTCCCACGCTGTTCGCCAATTTTTCATGCAAATCGGTACGTTCACAATCGTTCCTTTCTACTGTAGGTTGTTGTTTGGTCTATGGTGTTTAAAACTGTATAGGGTGAGCGTAAAGTAATATCGGACCAACATTGCCTCGATTTTAAATTATATTTCAATGCTTTGGTTGACATTTCCAACCGATATCAAGAGAATAACGAAAAAACTTAAAACCAACACAGGCCAAGTATGACTGTTGGTTGCTGGTGTGTGACGACTTTGTTGTGGTCCTTGAAAAAACTGCTCCTTTGTGCAGTGTGGCTTCCTATGAATTATTATTGCTCCTGACTAAAAGATTTGGTTTTGTTTTTCCTGTAGGTGTTGTATCATTCCAGACTTCGTCGCCCCTTAAAGCGAGTTTTCGCAATTAGTGTCTTAACCGTTGGAGACACATGTCGACCGAACCGTCGAGACATAATTTAAAACAAACGCAATGGAAGTCCTCCTACGTCCTTCCGAACAAACAGAGTGTAGTGTTTTATTTTTCAGAAAGCACATTCTTTGCTATCGTAGAAAAATTCACTAGTAGATTGTAGATTGCGAGACCTAGGCTGTACATACGATGCGTCCCAGATGCATCAGATCGCGGTTAAATTGACAGCTTCTAAGTGATGGCTTGTATGACATAATGGATTTTCGGAAAGAGCAGAATATTTCCAGTTCAGTGATGTTTTACAAGTGCACAGCAGATGTTGTCACACTTCGTAAAGTGGGCCACGATTTATTTAACATTAAGATTAATAAGTAACACATAAAAAAGCGCACAAACGCATTGGCTTGGCCTCCTAGATCCGAAGAAATTTTTTCCTCGATTTTTTTTTTCAGGGACCACAATCATACAAAGAATGAGGTGTACGAATTTGATCCTCCCGGGAAAAACCTTAAAACAAAGAGTTTTGGACACTGGTTCTAAGAAAAATAGTCACCAATTACCAAAAATGTATCCATGCAAATGGACGTCATTTTGCACTTAGTTAAAGGAACTTCTTTTCTAAAAATGTTCAGCAAAATGTATGAAAGCAACTGTGGCAACGTGGCAATTTCTGAATAAAATTTTTTTCATAATTTTCTCATCGCTCTAGGTTAATCGTTGGAGAGCATTTTTGATTTTTAATGAATCTGTTGATATTAACTTGTAAAATTACCTAAGGGTCCACCTTAGGTCAGCCCTCAATTGATAACTTTGTTAGTCCTCGGGACGGAAATTAGTTTTTCCTTTTATCTATCCTAGATCTATCAAAGTTTTGTGGGAACGTATTTCGTTATTTTTCGTCCGCAGGCTAAGGAGCATAGGTTGGTATTTTCTGGATTTGTCCTGCTTCCGGCGTTCACTCTGTCTCGCTAATGTTTCACCAAACATGGTGCTGGCTTCTTCAGAGCTGAGGTAGTTATTAGTCGAAGTGTGACTCATCTCAGGTTTTAGGATAAGCAGAAAATCGAGTTTAGAAGAATTTTTGATATTTATCGGCGGCATTTTCAACATACATTAAAAAATACACTTCACAGAACCACTCCACTCCATTACTTTCTTATCCCCTAACAAAAAACATTCTGCCAAATAATCTTGTAAGAAAAAAATAGAAAAGAAAGGTGGTGAATTCTGAAGTGCATTTTGAATATTTTTTATTTCCTTATAGAAGCGAAACATTCTTGTTTTTCCTGTTGTACTTAAAAAATCCTTAAATCGAAATAAGACACAAATTGCAATTTGAAATTGCTCGCTGCCCTAACCACTGCGGTTGAACGAAATTACTGACACTACTTGATGTACCCGATATTACCGCGCTAGGCCCTTGTCGACTGCCCTGAAATTTGCCATTGCACGGCATATTGAGTTTATCAGGGAACTTAATCAGTCTTCCGTTCGGAATGGACTCAAAGACCTTTGCCAAGTCTCAAATTAGCCAAATTGCGGAGCAATTCCGACAGTCTAACCGGTCGTCACACTTTCGCAAAGCGCCGGGATTGTTACGGTTTTAAAATGAGATGGACGCTGGTTCGTTATTAACACCTCGTTACCTCGCGATTTTACCGCCTAGCCGGGAGTAGCGGCTAGAGATTAGAGAATAAGTTCGAGTACCAGTGCCATCGATTTGAAGATGGAACAAAGGTTTTAAGCTTAACAAACGCGGTAGGTAATCAATCATAATTATTTTTATAAAATTGACACGTACACAATACAATTACCATTCCACTATTCCATGTAGCTATTAGAGAGGTAGCGGCGTAAGCAGCCGATAATTTCCGAAATTTGTGAAAAATTTTTTGAGAAAGTCCATTCAAGATGCGCGTTAGCAAGAGGTAAAATTACGC